GAAGAAAACTAAAAATTTTCGAAATTCAGAAATTTTCTAAAAATCAAAAAATGCTGCAAATTGTCTGAAAAGAGGACAAAACTATTGAGACTGTTATTATAAATTTCGGGGAGCCGTAATTTTTAGTAATTCCACCTAAATCTTTGCAAAACTTGCCACGAATTTGATCATACGTAACTACTCACAAAATGGCCGGCACGTCATATTTCCTATCAGATCTCCCTGCCATCTTCAATTCGTTGAGGATATTCTAAGTTAGTGGTTTGGCTTTGGTCTTTTACCCAATGCCCACGATTTTCTTTAGGTAGAAACAGTGGCCAACATAAGGAATATAAATATCCTGATATAAGATAGCTGTCACGGCCCTGATGATGGTGGCTGTAAAGTCAAGGACTAATCCTTATGTGCAATTTTTGTTACTGTCCCAGTCCGAGAAAAGGATGGAAGGATCCCGTTCATATGGACCTGTCGTCAGACAGAACACTAAATAATAATATATATGTTTACTATATGGTATTTCGATTCCATAGTTTCTTACAATGGTCATGACTATGTCTTTCAAGTTCCAGTGGGTTGCGATTGCAGTTTATGATTTATAGCCAGCTATATAGTTAGTTATTTGTAGATTAACTGAGTAGTGGTGATTTGAGATATACGACGCTAGCTTAGATTTTTTTATGTATGATTTGGGGTTTTCACAACGGTGAGTATGAAGATTTCTGTCGTCTGAGTTGTTGCGTTGTGTAGTATGGCAGATGTTTACCAACATTTCAGGTATCATGTTGCGTCCGTCATCAGGGCGTTGTATGTGCCTAGTGGTTGGAGGGAGCTAGATTTGTAGTAAGCGGACAGTGATTGGAGTAGATTTTTTAGTTTTCATGTCATTTCCAGATAATTAACAAATGGCTCAGTTTCGCCAAAATAAAAGTACTCCGAAACAGATTAGGGAGTTCAAAATTATAATTATAGGAGAACCGTATGTTGGGAAAACTTGCCTGAGTTACAGGTTCTGTGAAGGCAAATTTCTTCCCAATCCTGAAGCAACAATAGGAGTGGATTTTAGGGAAAGGACTGTTGATGTCGATGGAGAAAAAATAAAGGTGAGTAGGAGGATGTGTGATACATCTGTGAAATTGATGACTAGGCTATTGTCTTTTTTCTAGGCAGTTCATTCCAGTATGTAGTTGAGAGATTTATGTTACACTACGTTTATTTACTGATGAAAATATCACTTTCTATTTGCCTTTGATCAATACTGTGGTATGTGGGAGTTGCATTTTGGGGTTATGATTCACTGGGGAGTACCAAAAGGAATAATCAACTAGTTATTTATTTGTGCAGAAACCTTCAGTTATTGTCTGCATCCATTCTGATGATGTTTGCAGTAAGAACCCCTGAAATATTGGTCACTTTCTATTAGACTACATAGCACAACATCCCAAGAGACAGGCATCCTTATATTGGTTACAGTGAGATTTAAAATTTTACACAATTCTTATTGTTTCCAGCTGCGACTGTGGGACACTGCAGGCCAAGAACGTTTTAGACAGGCCATGGTTCATCATTATTATCGAAATGTTGATGGTGTTGTTATCGTCTTTGATGTAACTAAAATGTCTACTTTCGAGGTGTGTTATGTTTGATATAGTATAAGCAATAAATACTCATTAAGTGGGAGAAGTACTCCCCAGTACACGATAAATACTGCACATGCTTCCAGTTTCATGTCAGAACATATGTCAGTTCAGGTATCACAGAATCATATACATGCATGAAATTACTGAAATCCCAATACTTTGCAAATAATTATACTGATTTACTCTCCCAGTCTTATGTTGCTCCTGAACTGTGAGTGACTAATATACCACTCTTCAATAATCTCCATCCTCTTGCCCACTGCACTACACGACCTGTCATGTATACTGAAACATATGAATATATACCTGGAAGTATAAAAAAAAGGCAAAGCCATCCTGTTACATACCATGTAGGCACACAGGGGAGAGGTGGTATAGCTCCTACTCATTCTCGACCTCGGCATTAGATGGGGTTGAGCAGTCAGCATCACACCCTGGAGAAAGGACCCTCAGTCCCCATTGGACAGAAGGCTGGGTATGCCCTAGAGCTGGTCTGGATGCAGAAGATAGAGGAAAATCCTCTGCCCGTCAGGGAACAAATAGTGATCTTCCAGCCTGTAGTTAGTCAGTATACTGACCGAGTTACCTGGCAAGTACATCCACGTATAACAGAAAGTAAAGAAAACTAACTTAACCTAACATTTATCACCAGATCAAGAACTATGGTCGCCTGCAATCTAAGAAGCTAAAATACGAGTGGCAACATTCATCCATGGTTAATATCCCAGAGTATAAACATACTCTCAGGTATGTACATTTATACATCACGGAATGTACAGAAGGAGCAACACATGTTCAAGGTCAAGTTCATGGACAGGTGGGGAACTGACTGGGTGTATTGTAATTATACCGTAGAATTACAGAACAGACACACTCTCGCCAACATTTTCCCCCTTCTCATACTTCATCTGTCCAAGCAGATGGTCGGGAAGATATATGTACCCTGCTATGTAAATCACACTTGCTTCCACATGCCTTTCTTAGAGAATATTTGGGATGTTACAACTGGACCAGAGTTACCAGTTTCACTGGCACTGAGGTTGCAAAAAAACGAGCACTGTCAACTGTGCAGTGATGAGACTGATTTCCTAAGAGTATCTTATTGTTTTTAGTCACTGCAAGAGCTCAAGTCATGAACATGTATTCATATTGAAGATTTCTGTCCTCTGGGTTGTTGCGGTGTGTTGTCTGGTCGATGTTTACCAACGTTTCAGAGGTCATACTGCCTCCGTCATCAGGGCGATGAATATGAAGATTTCTGTCTTCTGGGTTGTTGCGCTGTGTAGTCTGGTCGATGTTTACCAACGTTTCAGAGGTCATACTGCCTCCATCATCAGGGCGATGAGTATGAAGATTTCTGTCTTCTAGGTTGTTGCGCTGTGTAGTCTAGTTGATGTTAACCAACCCCTCAGAGGTCATACTGCCTCCGTCATCAGGGCGATGAATATGAAGATTTCTGTCTTCTGGGTTGTTGCGCTGTGTAGTCTGGTCGATGTTTACCAACGTTTCAGAGGTCATACTGCCTCCATCATCAGGGCGATGAGTATGAAGATTTCTGTCTTCTAGGTTGTTGCGCTGTGTAGTCTAGTTGATGTTAACCAACCCCTCAGAGGTCATACTGCCTCCGTCATCAGGGCGATGAATATGAAGATTTCTGTCTTCTGGGTTGTTGCGCTGTGTAGTCTGGTCGATGTTTACCAACGTTTCAGAGGTCATACTGCCTCCATCATCAGGGCGATGAGTATGAAGATTTCTGTCTTCTAGGTTGTTGCGCTGTGTAGTCTAGTTGATGTTAACCAACCCCTCAGAGGTCATACTGCCTCCGTCATCAGGGCGATGAATATGAAGATTTCTGTCTTCTGGGTTGTTGCGCTGTGTAGTCTGGTCGATGTTTACCAACGTTTCAGAGGTCATACTGCCTCCATCATCAGGGCGATGAGTATGAAGATTTCTGTCTTCTAGGTTGTTGCGCTGTGTAGTCTAGTTGATGTTAACCAACCCCTCAGAGGTCATACTGCCTCCGTCATCAGGGCGATGAATATGAAGATTTCTGTCTTCTGGGTTGATGCGCTGTGTTGTCTGGCCGATGTTTACCAACGTTTCTGAGGTCGTACTGCCTAAATCACTCAAAATCTGTTGTCTGAACTTTTGACAGCACTGTCACGAAAGCATGCAATTAGGCTGAACCTGAGCCAGTACAGCTTTATCCACATGAATGACCTTTGTTTGTACTGCACTTAACTGGAATATAGATGGTTACATGACTTTGTTTCTTGCAGAATAAACTTTCTGGTAATCCCCAAGTTGTTTAAAATAGAAAAAGGCACTTTGGAGTTTAACATCAAATCATGGGAAAGTTTAATTATGCACATTTTTTTTATCAAACCTTGGGTGACCGACACGTCAATTCAGGTCAGGAGTCGAACATCTCGGAGACGCTACCCCGTTTCTGTCATCAGGGAGTGAATGGCATTATCTCTGGATTCCTTTTCCGAATTGATGAAGCTGGTTGCCTGAGATGATTTTGCTGCAGAAGTTTCTTGTCATATATGACGCACAAATCTAGTTCAGACTGATCAAAATATGGAGAAAATTCTACATAAAACTTTCACCATAAAGAGGAGTGACTTCACTGTATGGAAACTTACCAGTACACTGTTCTGTTACAGTCGCTGCCAGAATGGATTGAAGAATGTAAGTATCACAGCGTAGGAAGTGATATCCCACGAGTCTTGGTGGGCAATAAATGTGACTGCAAGGAAAAACAAGTTGTAAAGAGAAGTGAAGCTTTGAGGTTTTCTGACATCCATAACATGCCAGTGAGTTTTTCTCAGTCTTTGTTTTTACTTTTATTTCAACTGATGGTGGAATTTAAACAAAAATGATGGGGCTATGACTTTAATTTTGATTGTTTATGTGCAGATTCACACCTGATACATTAAAGTCATACAAAGCGATACTATATCAAAGAAACCGCATATAACATTGTTTTATACTTTTTCATCGACATCTCGCTAGTTCATTACCAATATAGCGCTAGAGCAGATCTATCACAAGACCATGTAGTAACAGCAGTTGCTGCTGTGTAATGCGTTCCCTGTTTGGAACAGTCGCCCTTCCTTTTCAAGTTTGCTTTAGAATACGACATTACGAAAGTCCAAGAAAAACAAAAGGGATTGGAACTGAATGGCATTAAACTCCTGGTTTATGCTGATAATGATCTTTTGTTCGGCGACTTTGTTTTTATGACGTGCTAACCAACGAGTGGAAACGTGAATCACTGGTTTTCAAGTGCTTATCTAATTGTTGAATTTTTATCCTACTTTCAGTCTCGTTGTATCGTTATGTGTTCGCGCACCTCCCACCACATTTTTATTCCTAGACAGGGTACTAGCCCCACCCTGAAAGTAATCAGTGAACAGTAATCACCACGAAAACCTAAAATGTTACATTTTATAATTAGTAATTCCTACTGTTGTAGAATTCAAACAACAAGATATGCCTCAATGGCAGCTTCCTGTATAGACAGAGCTTTGAGGTGTTTCTAGGTGTATTAACTTTGGCATAATAAATTCAGAACTCCTTGTTGAATTATCTCAAATAAATGTATAAAGTTAATGGAACATGCAGTAAATGAAAATGTTAATCTTATTAAAAGTTATGACTAATTGTTAGTTTATAATTATACCATTCAAATGGTGTGCGTATAATGCACTATAAGAATGTGCAAAAACATAATTTAAACATTTCATCAAGTAATTTCACTTGCTACAACTGCTAAGCTTATCAAGTTAAGACACTGCAGTTTCAGTGTGTCATATTTGTAAAATTCATTAAGATTTAATGTTTCGACTCTGGTTGCAGTATTTTGAAACATCGGCGCAGGATGAATCAGAGTCAGACAATGTAGAAGCAATTTTTCTGACATTGGCCCTCAAGCTTAAGAATCATCGTCCATTGATGCTGTCACCTTTGTCTGAAGTCCAAGGAAGTAATTCAGTTGAAGCTTCTCATCAGGGTTTCATCTTATTTCCCAGTCCTCAACCTAAACCTCCTGCTGACACATCATGCTGTTGAACTGAAGTACTCATTTACTATAACAAATAGAAGGCACTTTTAACATTATGATGCATTTGAAATGTATTTGTATTTTATGTGCACAATTTCCTCCAAACTACTGTTTTCAAGTCCACAAATACATTATGAACAGCATAATTTTGCTGACAGATCTGTGGAGTATAGTAAATAATATACTAAATATCTGTAAAGTAAAGCTGTCCCAGTATACGCCATCTAGGCGCTTGAGGGTAGAGGAGGTGTAGCTCCTACTCATTCTTAACTCTGCACTAGATGGGGGCGAGCGGTCAGCTTCATGCCCCGGCCGTGCTTTACACCTGGGGAAACGGCCCCTGGTACCCAATGGATAGGATGCTGGGTGAGCCCCAGAAGTGGTCTGAACACAGGCTACAAGAACTGTGATCATCACTTTTCTGACTGAGCTACCATGGCTCCTGAAATACTTTAAAACTGGAAGTTATGTCAACATCTGTGGTATTTCATATGCATAGCTCAGTCAGTATAGTGACTAGCTACGGACTGGACGGCCGGGGATGGAGGATTTTTCCTCTAGCCTCTGCGTCCAGACCGGCTCTGGGGCTCACCCAGCCTCCTCTACAATGGGTACCACGGTCCTTTCCCGGCCAGGGCGTGATGTCGACCACTCGCCCCCATCTAGTGCCGAGGTCAAGAAAGAGAGGAGCAGCACGTAGCAGGACAAACTTTTATATTATAAACAATGTATTTAATTATTCTCTATATGAATAAAGTAAAATACACTGAAGCAGCTGTCTGTATGAGTAATTTAATTCCAGTACATGGAACAACAATAACAAATAGAAATGAGGTCCATGATGAACTTAGATTATAATACATTCAGGAAATGGTTGTTTTTATTCAATTAAAAAACTATCATCCCATTTGATATCCAAACCACTAAAGATCAGGATATTAAAAAAAAAACATTTTTGTGGTATTCTGATAAATAAGCAAACAGCCATTCTAATACGTGAAGTCATAAATAAGGAATGCCATTGGGACGAGTAGCAACTAACATACAAATTATTAACTCAATGAGAAAAACCTGGGGAAAGTCTGACATTTCTTTGAGGCACAGAATTTCACTGGAAACAATTTTTATTCCTCCAATACCATCATCTCCACCTCCATTCCTGTATACGTGCATACCTCGATTTATTGCACTTCGCAGATATTGTGTTTTTTTTACAAATTGAAGGTTTGTGGCAACCCTGCGTCGAACAAGTCTATCGGCGCCATTTTTCCAACAGCACATGCTCACTTTGTGTCTGTGTGTCACATTTTGGTAATTCTCGCATTGTTTTTTTTAGACACAATGCTATTGCACACTTAACGCACTAGAGTATATGCACTGGGAAACCAAAAAATTTGTGACTCGCTTTATTGCGGTGGTCTGGAACCTAACCCGCAATATCTCCGAGGTATGCCTGTATATCAACAAATTATTCCAGAAACCTGACTGCTGTTATCGCATTGGCAGCTTGTTCCCATTTTGAAATTTGCATTCGCTATGAATGGTCTTGCTGCCCACAGAACAAGTCATCACGCTATCAATGTTTTGAATACGTCACTACACTACACTTAGACATTATTTACCGAGTATCACCAGTTTTTGGTCTCATTTCTTCAGTTAGCTAGTGTCAAGGTGTGGGGGATCTCTGGCCATGTCTGTGTTACGTACAGTTTATTGGAACACAGTGATAATGGGGAGACTCATTGTGGGGGTGGGGGGGATATTGAAAATAATATCAGTTAAGGTCTTGTAGCTCCGCGTCTTATCATCAGCTGTTACGAAGTGCTTCATCCACTGCATTCAAAACACCTGTAACATATACAACGCTCATTACTTCCTCAGTAATGGACAGGAGTGCTATTATTTTACGAGGTCTATGTAAATAATGCATAAATATGTTGGATTATTTATTTATGGTAGCCTCCCTCAGTATAAAACCTTCAGGTTGCAGGTTCTTGCAGTTAATGTACATCCACAAGCAACAACCTGTATGTAACAAGTCATTCATTTTATTCTGAAAGACAGAATATAAAAATACAAATACATAGTATGAAAAATAAACAACTGAAATGAAGTGAATATATTGCCTGAAACCAATTCAGTCAGGCAATTTAACAGAACTCTGCAGATATTCATGGACAGAAAAATTCATTTGCTTATTTTTTGTAAGTTGTGCTAATTTATTGCACTGTTTTATGACAAGAGAACCACATGTTTGGTCATTCTGTAGAAGTTTCACTGGTGGAAGCGTGTGTGGCTGTTTGCCAACACGCCACTGTTTTTTATCCATGACCTTTGAACTAAGCTTTATAGCTGAAACTTCAAGTTGTACTGTGTTTACTTCCTTTATTCATGGTTTATTGATGTGTTGATGAAATGGGTAAGTGCACAGAACATGAGGTCAGTGAGTACTTTCTGTACATTTCCAAAGTGCTTCAGAAAATGCAGGTTACAAATAAATAAAAATAAACAGTGCTGTAGAGAAGTAACTTGTGTTATATTTTGATGAACATTTTCTTTACCAAATCAATGACCTGAATCAAGGCATAATTTTCTGTCACAATTTTAAGATTATTTTTGATTCTAAATACTAAAGTTAGAAAAGGAACATTTTTGTGTAAATATTTTCTGTGCAGTGAGGAAAATTACCAAGAGTCTAAATCAGGATCTGACACATCCAAAACGAGATTTGGATACAAATTTGTACAGCTACAAACATTGGAGAACCACGTTAAAATTTCTTCTTAGTGCTGAAGAGAGCCACCTGAAATTTTGTTCAAGATTATATTACTGAGCTGTGTTAATGTAATTTTGTTCTTAACTATCAGAAATACAAACATGACGGTCATTTTACAGAACTAATCTCTCATTTATACAGTCAGTTAAGATGTAGATCTATAGGTGTTATCACCTCCATAATTCTTGCAGCAAAACTGAGCTACAAAACCACAGAATCAGCAAATACTTACGGTTAAAGTCCCCATTATTAATTGCAACTGTGCAGTAAAGCATGTGACATACGCTACATAATTTGTGTCGGTAGTTTTGCAAGGATTATAGAAGCGATGGGTAATCATAAGTAGGAAACATAATAGAGTAGAAAATTTGTGTCGGTAGTTTTGCAAGGATTATGGAAGCGATGGGCAATCATAAGTAGGAAACTTAATAGAATTGAAAGGAAAACATTCAAATTTATTTCAAGATACTTTCATAATGGTTTCTTCGAAGAACTAAGGCAAACTACATAGAACTTCAGTCAGGATATGGTTGTAGAATTCAATACAGAGAACATTCCATATAGAAGGCTATGAAGCTAGACTGTATATCTGACAACTGTAGAATCAAGTAATTCAATTGTTTTTACCATAGAGACGTCCACATCGGTGATGCTGTACCACGACGGCACCACTCAGATGCACCTACTGCTGCTGTTAATTAACGCGTTGCACCAGGCACAGGCCAGTGGCTACCAGCAACCACAGCGGATGACCAGGTCGCTCGGACACCTGTACCAAGATCTAATACCGAATGTCTTCAAGAGGGTTGAATCACACTTGCTGCAGCAACAGGAGAACTTAGAATGGGAGAATCAAAAAGTACAGTGGTTCATTACATCCCTAAAAGAGAAAAAGTTGGTGTGTATAAAATTAAGCGATGGGTTCCAAGTCGTAGAAGAAGAAAATGAATATGGACTGCAGTTGGTTGAGGAACTAGAAAGTGAAAAGAAACGAGGATTACAGTTAGAAAAACAGCTAGAGAATGAAACGAATTATGTATCACAGCTGACAGCAGATTTACAGAAAGAAAAGGAATACAGAAGGCAGCTCAACAAGGAACTAGAGAATGAGAAGAAGCGACAATCTCAGTTGTTTAAAGAATTAGAAAATGAAAAGAAACAGAGACAGCAATTAGCTGAGAAACTAGTAGAAAGAAAGAAATATGATTCACAAATGGCTGAAAATATAGAGAAAGTAAAGAATCTTGCATCATATCTGACTAAGAAACTTACTGAAGAAATTAAAAATAGTCTGCAACTGGCCAAAAGCTTAGCAAAAGAAGTGGCACGTTATTTAACACGGCTAGCTACATTAATGGAGACGGAAACAGAAAACAGAGTTAAAGTGGCTGAAAATCTAGAGAAAGTAAGACACCAATGTTTTAAAATGGCTACAGACCTGGAGAGACAAAGTGAAAAAGTTATCAAAGTGACTAAAGACCTGGAGAGACTGAAGCTGCAGAGATTGCTAATGGCAGAGAAACGTAAGCAAGGCGCACTGCTTCGAGCTGAGAGACTGAGACTGTCAGGTGATCAGCAGCCAATCGAGACACACCTGTGCGCACTGGAAACTGAACTACTTCTCGAGAAAGAGAAAAACCGGTGTCTAGAGCTGGAACTGCAGTTGGTGGAAGAGCAACTGCGAGCAGCTGGCTTGGAGCACAGGTCAGCATCCATGTTCCATAAAAGAAAGGTCAATGGTACAAACCCCAAGGACATCAGTTTTGACATTTTCCGTCATTCTAGACATGTACAGTAAAAGACTACTTTGTCTGATTATCTTGCCTTAGGTCACAAGAGAGTGCATCTAAGTATGTCAATTCTATGCCCACAGTTTCACTGAGCAGTAACTGATGTTCATGTTATCTCTCTGTATCAAATCTTTGTGGTCATATCATCATCCCTGTACTTTGATGCTAGTGGTAGAATAATATGCCTTCTATTTACATAACATATTTGTACACAATCTTCCTCTTACGTAAGTATTCGATGGTTGTAGACAGAAATTTATAACATATGCATTACCTTCAGGTTTCTGTAAATTACTTTTTGACATTCTTTGACCATTGCTCGCAGCCGTGCTCACTGAAAGATAACATAAAAACAAATATTAAAGAAAGAGGCCTTGAATACTCAGAACAGATTTAACTGATTTAGGACAAGGTCCAGTGATGGAATTCTGTGGTGGTTGATTCCGAAGGAGTCTACCAAACTTGGTGGATAAAGTGAACATATGATTTTGTGTAAAAAAATATCCTAGTAGCATGGGTCCAGTTCATAAACATTAACAGTCACTGAAGAAAGATAAAGATGTACCAGAAATAAGGGGTTTAATGAAAAAATACACAACTACTTTAACGTGAAACTGCTCAACCAGTCAAGAAAGTCCACACTTGGAACGTAGAGGCTCTTTACCATGTCCAGACAATGTAGCCTGGTCTCTGGTTACTACCTGTTTCTCATGTCCAAATATTCTTCTCAGCACCCAGTTCTCAAATGCCTTCAATTTTATGTACTTCCCTGAGGGTGAGAGACCACGTATCATACCCATACGAAAGAGATAAATAAAATTACTCTTTCAGGTTGGAAAAGGAAGTCCTGATAAATGGAGACCTCATAACTCATGTGAAGAAGGAGCAGCAGCGTGCACAGGAGACCCTAACTCAGTTAGAAGCAGCGCGCACAGTGACTGCGCAGCTGGAAACAGAACTGCAGAAGGAGAAGGAGTACGGACTAGAACTTGTAATCGACAAGAAGAAACACAAGAGTCGTCTGTGGACTCTGGAAACTGAGAATCGCAACTGTACAGCGCAGGTGTCGGCCCTGACGCAGATGCTCGATAACAAAACTCAACACATCATGATCCTCACAGCTCAGCTGGAGGCAAGAGAATCCATGGAAGTGTTTACTGGGCAGCAGTCAGAAAAGAAAATGCAACAACAGCTCTATGCTGCTGTGAGTTATATATAAGTACCTTTAATTCTGAGCTTCCTTATGAAAACTTTACTTATTTTGGAAGCTGATTAGCTCTCTACTTTATAATATTCCACAATCATCAAATTCTAAATGCATGGGAAGTTACTGCCCTTGATTTCAAACTAAACCCATAACCTACGTGTGGCTACAGTAACAACCGGTCACCGATGTTGGTTGACAGAGTACAAAACTGACCTCATCCCAAATGGGTGCTTGTTTTGTTTTTCCATGGAGCAAAGTCCTTCCTATGAATCTTCTTGGGTTGAACCAATCAAATTCCTTACCTTCTATTGCACCCAAAGGTTCTTTATCATGTCCCTACCTCGAGTCAAATGAATCCAGTCCGCAGCATCCGACATGATTTCTCTAAGACAAATTTTAATATTATTTCTACATTTAAGCCTAGGTCTTTCAAACGGTCTCTTCTCTTCAAGTTTTTACCAACTAAAATTATATATTCATTTATTACTTCACTTATGCATGTTACACATCCTATCTCATCCTCCTTGATTTGATTCCTCTAACAAATATTTCGTGGAGAGTACAAATTGTGAAGTTCCTCATAATGCAATTTTCTCCATCCTCCTGTTATTTAAATTCTTTGGTCTAAATATTCTCGTCAGCACCTTATTCTAAAACACCCTCAATGGATCTACTTCCCTTGATGTGAGAGACCAAGTGTAACACACATATAAACAGGTAAAATTGTTTAGTGTATTCTGATCCATTTTTCTAAATCAAACGGTAGCAAGTATTCTGCAAGTTTAATTTTTTTGTGAATATAATTTTGATTCACTGCTATAATTTTCCAATATTTAAATCATGCCACATTCTCAAAGGATTTTTCTTCACATCATAACTGTTTTAACTGCATATGGGATTTAAATATTTATTTTTACTGAAAAATCGTGATTCAGTACTCGCAGGGACAGGATCACACACATCTCACCATTTTTGTTTATGCAGACGACTCAACTGCGGGAAAGGAAGCAGCACCTAAAGGAGTTCTTACAGTACCTGCAGACGCATCAACGTGACATCGGTAAGTGGAGCTCGCTGGTAGCAGCTGTGGAGTATGGAGAGCCAGTGGTGCTACAGATACTGCTCGATTCAGGAACAGATGCCAATGTCGCAGACCACGCTGGGAAACTGCCATTGCTGCAGGCTGCAGAACTGGGAGAAGCTACCTTAGTACTGATGCTTATTGCAAATGGAGCCAAGCTAACGATAGCAGACAAGGATGGCCGCTCTGCTCTGCACCAGGCTGCCAAACAGGGCCATACTAAGGTCATGCGCGACCTTATTGATATCGGTGCAAATGTGTCGGCTGGAAACAGGTGGGTTACAGGAATGAAGACATAGCTGGGTATTCTCTCATCTTCCGACATTCAAGAAGCAATCCAAGAAAACTACTTTATTATAACCAACTTATAATAGCTTTAAAAACAGTATCCACATTATGTAGCCATGTTATTTACATATTGATACAGTAATTTATGAATTCATTATCATATCAGGTGGATCCTGCTTCGTATGTGAGAGTTCCAGGTTCAAATACTGGCCTGGAGACTCATATTTTCTCCAGTTTTCCTCAGTCCCTCTATGCAAATTCCAGAACAGTACCTTAAATTAGGCCGCAACCACTTCCTTCCATATACTTTCCAAGTCATTATTCTTTAAATACAAACAAAATATATAATGTATATGACTCATTAAATGATTATCTACTTAACTGTAATTTCAAATTTTATGTAGATGGAAGAGCACACCCCTGCACTATGCTGCATGGAACGGCCACCTAAATGCCACACGCCTGTTACTGGAACGGGGCGCTGATGTGAACAGTTGGAGTGCCGGTGATTGGCGGCCACTGCACAGAGCAGTGCAGGGTGGATATGAAGATGTGGCCCATTTCCTGGTGCTGCACGGTGCGGACCTGGCAGCAGTTAATGAGGATGGACAGACCGCAAGAGACATGGCTGAAAGCAGGGGCACCAAATTTCTGCAGAACATTACAAGGAAGGAATAAGTGTGAATGGTTCTCTGACATTAGTTAGTGCATGACTTATGAATATGATAAGTGCCTGATGACATCAGGAAGAAAAAAGTTACGACCCGCTGTTAAAAAGGTTTGTAATCTTTGTGATGCTATAACAATAAATATTATTATAAAATAAAGAACATTATAATGAGATTGAAAGTAACCTAACCTAATGTTATCAAAAATATCTCAATGCCCTGAAATATACAACGTGTTCTCTATTAACAGACACCAATGGCATAATGTCCATACCAAATTTAATCCAAATATGACAAGCAGTTGTCAAGTCTAATTATGCGAATGGATACTGTGAGCCCTACATGTGTAAACACATCAATCAACGCATGCATAAAAATAAAGTTGTCTCTTTTCTTAATTAAGAACTATGCCATTTAGAGTTTCTGACTTTGTAAAAAATACTGAACATTTACCTGTAAAACGGACGTGGTAGGTTCTTCCGAAACGTTGACAACCATTTATAACAAACATTACATGGCATTACAAACCAAAACACAACAAAAAGAATAAGAAATTGTTTCTGAACATGTTTACCTTTATGAAGTAAAAAATCTATACAAAAAACTGGAGCTTTCTTTTTTCGAAATTTATTTGTTTTAAAACCGAGCAATTAAGAAGGCGTGTAACTTGCCAAGATAAAATAAAGGTTGCGCACTCTCCCATAACTGGTCCTCTTGTGCTCCCGTCAAACCAGTTTATCGTGTGGGACCAAGACGAAAAAGACTCAAGTTATGGAATGTTAATTCCAAGTCCTGCAAACGTCTTCTTGGAAGTACAGTAAACCCTGTCCCAAACTACAAAACCTCCTGGGATAAACGGAAACCCACCTTTATGGGAAAACGTAACGGGGTCCGGAGAATTCAGAGTATCACTTTCTTCAAAATGCAATAACTCTGCATTTTACCCACCGAGTGTACACACACATATATATATATATATACATACATACATACACAGAAGAAGGCAATGGCAAACCACTTCTGGATCATCTGCCAAGAACGTATATGAACAGGTCCCAGTCCGAGAAAAGGATGAAAGGATCCTGTTCATATGGACCTGTCGTCAGACAGAACACTAATAATAATAATATATATATATGGCTTTCGTAAGATTCTCAGAAAAAAAGGCATTGGCCACCTGACCGGTGTCACAGCGACGTGCTGTTTTCTTTGAGGTACGGACTGAATTTTTAGATGTTCTTCACGCTTTCCATAATACTGTTAAAACTGTGATCCTGCCTGCGACACCACTGTTGCATTTGTTATCTATTAATTTGGTTGCCCAAACCTTCAGTGCATTCAAAACACTACACACTTCCAATTATTTACATTCACTTCGTGCTTAAAATGAATAAAATTACCTCACGCAAGGGTTTAATATTTACTGTTTTCTACCCATACAAGTTGTCTCATTGCTATGGCAGACTTGGAAGAAATAGGAGTATAATATTAAAATGGGTCTTTCAGAAAGAAGCCTTGAGGAAGTATATTAGACTGAGAATGGAATTTTTGTTACGGTAAGTGGAACACGGCAAATAAAATTCAGATTTCGTAAACTTGATTAACTATGAATTCTATAACTGCTTCGTCGTGCTGCAAAGAACAACAACGTTTCTGTAGGTTGGTACGACGATCTGTACTTTGCAACCACAAGACGCCAGAACATTCTCCGGTAAAAAACCTCCAGAAATTTAATATCTTGAACACGTAATTAGCAGTGACTCAACAACATTTCATTTCAAGGGCGTCTACATTTTAATAAACGTAAAATAAACCAAGTCACTGTGACGCTATAAATGGTAACACAGTGACACTTACGAAGCTGAGAATTTTTTAAAATTCATACAGGAAGGTTTTGATTCCAGAATTAATTATTAAAAATATATTAAAATTGGCCGTCAATCACAATATAAGATAATTAAAAGATTAAAATATCATTTTACGTTCCTTATCGAGTACTCGATTTACATGTGGAACATTTACGACATGTTTCGGCTATATATAGCCGTCATCAGGTGTTATATTAATACTTAATAAATCACAATATGACGCATCTACAATATCTTATACAATATCCAGAATTAATATTTTGTTCACACAATACTAACAAAAGTAAAAACAATTGGAAAAAAACTGTTTTTTAAACGCAGTATTGTACTTTCATTGGTGATTGCGCGGAAAACGTTAAAATAACCGATCACGTGACACGGTTTATTTTTCAATGTAACGGCCTGCTTCAGAGGGGAGGGGAGGGGAGGGGAGGAAGGTTTAAAAAAACACGAAGAGATAGGGGCGAGGAATGAAGAAAATCTCCCCTTTTGAATTTCAACGGGATATTTACGATAGTGGTCTATAATTAATATCTGTAACATTAGATAACAATTAATCACGAAACATGTGGTGTTGTCCTAGTCTTCGCACTCTCTTTGTTTGTGCCAATTGTCAGGGCCAATGAACCTGTCGTTTGCTCTTAATTTCTTTTAGATAAACTGACCTGACCTTTGTTGTGTGGACCGGCTTATTGGCGCTACGCAAGACTTGCTGTCACGTGGGTTATAACGGGCAGCGAAGTCGGCAACACGCAAGCGCGTTTCATATTCCTGAATTAACGAAGTACAATTTGCACGGCTGGGTATGAAGAAAGATTTAGAAAGACCAGCTCCACTTAAAATGCAACCCTGACTTGTACACATGAACCCCTCCACGCGTCAAATTTTTGTAACTATTGGGCTACGTTTTAAATTGCACACCCTGTATATATAATACATTAAAACTACAGCGCTGGATGAGTTCTGGGAATGCATGGAAGGTCGGGATGAAAATTATTTCGAGGCATATTTTTCTCTCCCGGATGTGGTCACCGTAATTTGAGAAGAGCTGATCAAATTCCATTTCGCATGAGACCAGACGCAACATTTTTCTGAGAACAAAGCTGTTCCAAGAATTTGTTTTGCCTAGCGAGATTTTTTCAGCCAACAAATGCAACTTCAACGCTGAACAATGAAATTATCCACTCCACAGTTCTGGAGACGTTTCGATACTCCTGTCTTACGAATTTGAAAAGATCGGGGACCCACATTTCTTCGAATAAATAATTTTCATAAAAATGGATTTAAAAGACGGTCACTTATCACGCATATATACTTTATGTTCAATTAATGTCGTAAAATCATTTGCAAGGCGTGGATGGATCTTCAGAAAACTTTGTTCAAGTTGCGAGTATGCTTTCGTAGTGTTCGTGATAAACAGTCGGATTCAATAATGGCAGAAGAATCCTTGGAGAAGTAACAGTTATCGAAAACTGTCGTCGACGTGTATTATATGTCTTAACAGTTCTCTAGACATGTCCAGTCTGACGTACGCGCAAATTTTGGTGGAGAAATCTCTTAGCAAACGTCCATTTTGAAGACAAGAGACACGGGAGGTAAATTGAAATGGCTTAGAATCCCGTGTGGTGTTCGTTTCTTACGCACCGCCAGGATTGTGCATCGTCCCGTCGCATAGACGAGGTCCGCAGGACCTATCAGCGCGTTATCAGCGGGATGACATAATGGTGACCTCTGTCTTTTACGGAGTGCAATACAATGCAGTGGCCAGTCTTTCGGAGACAGACGAAGAAGCTGCTCTCTCTACCAGGTATGTGCAAACCACCTGTTCTTTTGTATGCTTGTGTAACGTGGTCTCTCGTGTCAAGAGAAAAACAAGACAGTGTTTGAGAAAAGGATAATCAAGAGAATATTTGACCACACGCGAGATGAAGGAACACAGAAGTCTGCTTCATAATTTGTACTTTTCATGCAATATTTACTGTGAGACCGAATCAAGGATGAGATGGAGGATAGGAAAATGTCACACAATCTCTTCATTCTTGAAAAGCCCGATAGCCTGTCTGACGGTCAAGACATTGTCCGTATTTCATAGAACCCGAAAGTTCATTACCGTGTTCACATAAGCCCGCCAGGGGTCTGTACCAGAAACGAGTTGAATTCGGGCCTAAAACATCAATTTTAACATCGTCCATTCGGAATGTTACATTCAATGACTCTTTTGCTCACTAAGTGCATTTATGGGTTTCATATTAACACGAGGATAAAACACGCTCACAAACTGATCGTTTTCTTTGAGGTACGGAATAATTTTTTTTTTAGACGAGCATCGGTTTCAAACGGTTAAGCTGGCTGTAAGCCTCAATCTACAGACATTTCACACTCTCTGCGTGTTTTTCGATAGTAAATTATTTCAATTTTACTGAAGAGTGAGATCCCGTGTTTGAAATTCTGCTACGTGGGTCTGTCGTCCAAATCCGTACTTCGATCGTAAAATGTGGACGACTAATCATTTCTCCCTCTGAAATCAAGCGAATTCCTCCCGACTGCACATTTTGAAAAAGCAACGTAATGATTTTCACCAGATCCAAGGTTTGTTTCTCGGACAATGACGCCTTCAAATGTCTGATTCTTCAGATTTATTTGCTCCACAGTTTTTTCTATGTCATTTCCGGATACAATTCGAAAGGTTGACAGTGGATATTTTTAAATAAATAAAACATTTCAGACTCAAACGCACTTTTCAAAAGACTGTATTAATCAAGACTACATCTGAGATCCTCAGAGCGTCGAAAATGCTAACTGCTGCACTTTACGTAACGCAATGTGGACTTGTTGGTAGCTACCCACGTTTCGGAGGAATATACTGTCTCCAGCTTCAGGTCTGTATCTTTAGTTGGCACCTACCCACAAGTCCGCACGGCGTTACAACACAGAAGACGAACCAAGCCTCAAAGCAGGAAGACATCTTTGAAGACTTTTAGCGAAGTGTACAGCCGTCCTTATCATGTTTCAGGGTGACATGTCGCTTGAACCAGTTGGGGAAACATCCCCGTTACAATCTCACCTCTTGCTGTTGCAAATTCTGCAACTGATGCAAGAATGTCGGGGGCAAGTACGACACAGTCGCAACAACGACGTCCTTGAAAATGTTGAGAAGCTCATTTTACAAAACAGGACAGACGAAATGCTAAACACAGAACCCTTCAGTACACAACACGAACTGGATCGCCTTCTCGGCGACGCGAGGAAGAAGATAGCGGTTTTGAAAAACGTCCTGGAGCACCAGAGGACCAGGCTGAGGGACCTTAACAGAAACGTCGAGAAGTATAAAATGGAGAAGCAGGAACTGGAGGGAAAGCTACAGGAGGAGAGAGAGTACAATACGAAGATCACGGACGAGTTGCAGAGTGAGAGGAATCACTGCTCGGAGGTGTCTCGAGATCTGACCAGCCAGAAAGAATACGACCTGGAACTCGCCGCTGAAGTACGCAGGGAAAAATATCGGAACACGGAACTGTCGCGGGACCTGGAGGTCGAACAGCGGTTCAACGCAGAACTGGACGTCAACTGCCGGGACAAGAAGGGCAACACTGCTCTTCACAGGTGGGCAACTCAAAGCGGGTCCCGCGGGCACTTGCTACCAACCTAACCTAACCCTATCCTCTGCTGTAGCCACTCGATTCCCGCCAACCACGCTTTACCCTTGGGAAAGTACCCCCGATACCCACTGGACAGGAGGCTGGGCGGGCCCCAGAGCCCATCTGGACGCAGAGGCTAGAGGAAAAATCCTCTGCCCCCGTCGTCCAGCCTGTAGCTAGTCGCTATACTGACTGAGCATGTCATGGGATAATCAACTCCACATAACAATCCTTCTTGAGAAGCTGATAGTCACCCCAAAAAACCCAAGACTGCCTTTCAAGGAACCTCAAGATTCATTACCACCTTCGCCATGAGCTCGCCACTTGAAAATAACCCGAGCCATTTGAATGCAGTCAACTACCACACAATATTTAAACTCCACTTTAATATTACCCTCACATCTACGTCTAGGTCTCCCAGATGTCACATTATACTAGATGCCAAGCTTGTAACCCCTGTTCGACAGACAAACTGGAAGGCCATCACCGTTGTCTTCGGTAGACATTTACATCTAACCTCATTTCACAGCCCTTTCCTGTTAAGTTACAAATGTTAAGTACGAAGACACATCAGAGGTGCTTAGATCCTCCATCTTCAGGCAGTAAGCACCCCTGAAATGTCGGTCAATTTCTATCAAACTACATGGTACAACATCACAGAAGACTGCCACCTTCAAAATTATATTTCAATTTAAGATACGCCTTTCAGCATGATTTCATAATCCTGTAATGAATTGTGCCTGGTTAAGAAATTTCAACATTTTTTTTGACTACTCAAAATACCTATAAAAGTTAATTCGTATATTTCAAAATTAGCACAGGACTTGAGCACTAGTTTAATGCATTTACTGTCCGGTAAGTAAACTGACTTTCATAGCCATTAGTATGGGTGGATGACCCACGGCTGTCAAATAAGCTAGTGGCTTAGGAACACCAAGGTGTTCCTGGCAAAACATCCTTCAAACCGACTTTCATGAAAATCAGACAATATCCAAGCTTTTTGTATTCTTTGTAAAGCATAATACTAAAAATATTATGTACATGTCTGTTGTCAGATCAGCCCAGAAAGGAAATCTCAAGGCCGTGCAAGCACTGGTTCATCGCGGAGCAAACTTAAACCTCAAAGAGAAAGAATACGGTCGGACTCCACTACTGCAAGCGACCCTGTACGGACGACTGGAAGTGGTACGCTGGCTTGCGGCTCAGGGCGCAAATATTGACGTATCAAACAGACAGGGCTTCACTCCACTGCACTATGCTGTATGGTATGGCTACACAGACATATGTCGTCTGTTGCTCAGCAAAGGGGCCACTGTTGACGCGCTAGGGGACGAGAAGCTGACGCCTCTCCATCTCGCTGCCAGAGCGGGACATATGGAAACTACGAAGTTGCTTGTACATAGCGGTGCTAATGTGAATGCGACAGATAACTTTGGGAAGACTCCTATAGACTGGGCTAGACAGAACGGATATGTCGAGGTGGCCAAGTTCCTACTAGCAAGCAGGAGCAATACAGCTGTCAATTCTAAGGAGCCTGTTGAAAAGACATAGTTATGTATAACTCACAAAAGACAATTTAATTCTCATCACAATTCCTCACTTCTTTAACCAATGACAGAGGCTGCAAGCTTCCTGTCAATCTGGCAACGTAGTTTCTTTCACAGATGTGAAATGTGAGCAGATGAAAGTCAAAATTTACTTACAAGGCAATGCATGTAGTTCACCTATACATACATTTGTGATAATTTTGTGGCATTTATTTCATCTAAGAATTCATTCTCTGTATTTGATACGTGAAGATGATCTCAAAGAGTATGGCCAGAAGATTTACACAGAATAAGTACATTTCTCAGCATTATGTTACAGAATCCAAAACAAAGTAGCTCATTCAAAATAGATTTGCCTTTGCTGAAGAGGGGAACAGGCACGGCTTCTGGTGTGCTGCATTTTAAGAAACACCAGGACAAAGTCTAATTCCAAGAAATGATAACTAATAGTGTTAATTTATTATCATAATCATTTATAATGGCTGAGGTATCTTAGGTGAGTAACAAGTATGGACAGCCCTCAGAACCATCATGTAAGTCCTACAACATTATCCTACATGATTACAGTAAGTTATGTATGTGGCTTCTAGCTCTTTATAAAAACAGAATTCAAAGTGAAAAATGGCTATTTCCTTTATGCAAATCTGTGTATTCAACAGAACTGATCATTTTCATTTGTCATTATGGTTCACTGACATTTTAAAGAAATTTACATCGAAAAATGTACATTGCAACAACTGCCATTTAATGATACTCTCTCTGAATAGGGAGAAAGATCAATGATTTATCACACTATTTATAATTGTATTAAAAATTTGGCAACATTTTTGGTTTTATTTTCTTACACATACTTTAAACATGTGGTCAGAGGTTTTGTGTCCATGCATGTTGCATCTCCAAAACTACTGATCTGGATCATTAGGTATGTACCAATAACGATTTTTTTTTTAAATACTATGCTGTGGTGATAATTGCACTGTTAGGTGGCTATAGCCTACATGTCTAGGATCTGGTGCAAGCGTTCCTGTGAGAATCTTAATAACTTTTAACTATTTTATCACACAAAATGTCGGATTACAAAGGCAATAAACCCGTATAAAAAACTATACTCGTTTATCCATATATCAATATACCTTGCCCATCCCAACTCCCAAAACGACGAAAAAAATTGTTTGCTGGCGCGAGTCCCCTATTAACAAACTAACAGCACAGCACACCACACCCCTGATAAATCTCTATTTTAACCCACTGTAGAAAGTGAGATGGTTGAATCCTATTTGTGGCGAGTTATAAGGCATGTTCCCATTGGGATATATTTACATAACCTCCAAGCTCCCCCAGGTACATGTTACACTCTATTACAAAATACTTACAAAATTAAGCAACTCAGCCCGTAACATATGGGGATGAAGTTGGTTTTCTTCTGTAAGTATTTTTCATAAATCAGTACTTCTGAAATTTTTTAGTTTCTGCACTTGCAACATGTTTGACATCGCCATTTAAATTCCTACCGACGACAACCCCAACTGTAGTCAGAACTACAGAGAACAGATGAAGTGCGATATTTATAATGATTTCTATTCCACCCATGTCCTGAACTGCGAGTGGACGACGGCAAACTAGCAATATAGGCACCTTGTAATGTGCTCGACGATTTCTCATTATAAAACACGTCCCGATAAACAATTGCACGTACACTCTATCTGGACAAGTGTATGATACCATATGCAAGTCGTGAAATTATTCAGTTTCACAGAACGGCAGTGAGAAATGAACACTCAGGCGGAAGACCGAAGGTCAAGCCCGTCGATAAACAGCCATAGCAACCAAGTTAAGCACTTATCATATAAAAGTTTTTTATGCAACGGTAGTGTATGCTAACTTTTTGTGGTATAGGGTAGCCTTGTGAGGACAAGTGTTTACAATTCACCAGTTCGCTACATGCAGGGACACTTGATGGAAAGTTCACGATTGAAATTGTACAGCACAAAAACAGACTGCAAAGATTCGGTACAGGATTTGTTTCATACTTCTAAGTGAAGGAAAGACGATAACTTCTTGAACAGTTTCGTATTCCAGATTTGAGGTTAGAACTAACACAGCGTTGTACATAGAAAATTATGAAGAACAGGTACGGCCGTTTTACGTTTACATTTATTTTGTGATTCTCCTGCCAGTATGCATGTATATTATATTGGGAAAAGGTGACGTGTATGGTGATAGCAGGTTGGAGCATACAGTGTAATGCAATCGTAAAATTGTTTTTAAATCGAATATATAAAAGCCAGCAAAAAATTTTCTCAAAGTAAAAAGGCCTTTTTAACAACATATATCTGAAACAATACCATGTTATATCTAACAGAGCTTAATATTTGCATGAATCTTTGGCATTTAAACATTTTAAAACCTGAAGGAAAGAAGCCACTAGAGAGACCTGGACATGTATGGGAGGATAATATTAAAATAGATTTTAAGGAAATGGAATGTGAGGGCAAGACTGCATTGCACAAGCTCTGGCAAGGATCCAGTAGCAGGTTCTTGTGAAATGGTAATGAACCTTTTGGCTCCATAAAATGCATAGTTTCTTTACTAAATGAGACACCACCAGTTTTGCAAGCACTCCACCACTTCATGCAGTTAATCACAGTTACATCCCTTGTTTGGCATTATTATATAATTATAACATTTTGTACGAGTTAATGTGGACTTTCATGTTCTGTATTGATAATTCTTGTGCATTTCTTTATAGATTACCTTGGAGATAAATTTCTTCAGTTTTATCATTTAGTGTATTGCTCTGAATGTAATGTCATTGTTTAGGATGGCAATGGCACTGGCTGTGAAGGGCACAGCCAGAAATTCAGTAATCATGAATCATGTAAGTAAATTATTATATAAGTATGAGAATATGTATAACTATGTCTACTGTGCATAAATTAATTTATCACTGCCACTATAACGCTGTTAGGGTTTTCATCCTTGACTATATGTTATGCTTAAATTATTATAACTATTACCATGGTTATGCTGGGAATCTTGGCCTTACAATTTGCATGACTAACCATGAAACCACTGCCACCTATGTCTGGTTAACGACTGTCATGACCCACATAGGGCTGACCATGTCTGTCAGTCCACATAGTTCAACTCGAGAACAGCTGGATGGATTTAGATGACATTATGCCACTGGAGGCTACCCACAACATCAACTTTCCTGAGATTTTCCTCAGTCCTTTCAAGATAATTCAGCACACTTAACAACCACTGCACTTGATACAGTACCATTAAATAATGTACAATCCATCCAGTAGTCTGCTGAAATCTTATATAAATAGAGTGGACAAATTCATGGTCATGTATGCATATAAATGATTTTATTCTAAAATAAAAGTGTATTCAATTTCTTAGAAGTGATCCATCATAGATAAAAATGTACAGAATAGTTTACTTTTATGATAGCCGTGACTTTTGTCTGATCAATTGTTTGGATTCGTGAATACTTAGCAAGGAATATTGTTTAAGACTGTGTTTCTGTATTTTTTTTTCCAGAAATCACTAACTCAAGTTCCATTTGCTGCCTGCATTGGTCTTACTTGGTCACCACAAAACAGACCATATTCAGCAAATCAGATCACAAAAAATATTGAACTTATCAGCGCTCATAATGACATCAAGATTGACAAAAGCTCGCCTCTGTGCCTCACTTATCCAAAACCTGGTGAGAATAACACACCACTGGTTGTGATGCTTTCTTGGCTAATGGCAAAGAGGAAGCATATCCTGAAATATGCCAATTTTTATATGGATCAAGGTTTTGATGTACTCAGCGTCAGCATTACTCCATGGCAGTTACTATGGCCAATGAAAGGCACCCAGGTAAGAAAATTAATTTTAAAATTTATATGCACTGCCATATTTTAGTCATTAAACTTAATGGTCTTAGCAATGTTTTCTGAATTATGATGTTATGTGAACTTATAGGCAGGTATCTACCTACGAGTCCATATATCATTGTAAGCGAGAAGACAGCTCTGAGAAACTCACATCTTTTGAGTTCAAATTAAAGGAAAATATGATTTTGGGCAGGTGGAGTATTGATCGTGTACTGCAGCATAAACCTTCAGCATGGCATCGTAACCCAGGAGATAATATATAATTTTTCACTGCTGTGCTTATGCCTGTTTTTATTTACACAGAGGACTTCTGCCATATAAAGAGAATGCTAACAACTGTTCTGAAAGAAACATTGATTGTTAAGCACTACCATTTTAAAAGTAAAAGAAATCTGTCCCACTATATTATTCAGAGCACCCTGTTCTCAAACACCCTTAAATGATGTTGTTCCTTTAATGTGAGACTAGGTTTCATACCCACACAAAACAGTAAGTATTATAATTTAATCTTTACATTTTCAGATAGCAGACAGGAAGACAAAAAAGTTTCTGAGCTGCCAAAAAGATTAAATATTCTTCAAAAAAGAAGGGCCTACATTAACCAGTATTGCTTACATCTCAAACGTCGGGTAGAATTCACGACCTTCACACAGAGTTCCACATGAAACTCTTGTCAACTATTCCAAAATGGATTGGACTGGGGAGGGGGGGGGGGGGAGAGAGGGACAGAGAAATATGAACACATGTATATGG